GTCATTGGTTAACCATTGTCCTCAAGTATTACTCAAACATGATTCCATCTTCACTAATGACCTTGAAGTATGCAATTCTAACAACTATCACATTGCCTCGATATCAGCTGATTTCTCCTTCCCTTGTGAGTGGTTGATGATTTTGTTAACTGAGTGACGATTGGCCAAAAAGCTCTTGCAATGCTATCTACCTTCGGACAAGAGAACTGAATTTACAGGGTAAACACCAAAGTTACGGACTGCTTACAGAGCCCGTAAGTCAATTTTGAATATGGGAAATTTGCGAGACTGTCAAGAGTCTGTTAGTTATGGGACTGTATCTCTGCTACTGTACGTAACTGATGAGGTGTTTTGAGTTTGCAGCCCCAGTGCTGTATATACCTTGTACTGTACCTCTTGAAATAATGCTAGAATTGTGACGAGCTTACATGGTAAAAGTAGTCACTGAATGCCTGATTAAATACCATAACAATAACCTAACCTAACCCCCTCAAGTAACATTAAGATGCTTGATAATCTGGCGAAATAACCCTGGATGCCTAATCTTCATATGGTCCAAAAACTATCAATATTTATAACAATAATACAGTAATAATAATAATATCTATCATCCAGTCACGAGGATAAGCGCCACACACACACTCCACTTTTCAGTCACTCATCTGTGATGTTCCCCAAGGCACCAAGATAGGACCGCTCTGCTTCTTTATGCTTATCAATGATGCCCCAAGAGAAACCCCTGCTCGCTCGAAATATTTCGACGACTCCACCATTGGGATCAGTGTCAACAACTCAGCTCCCGACTACACCGCCCTTCAGGATTTATTGAACAGTTTCCAAAACTGGGCCACCAACAACCACATCACCATCAACCATACTAAGACCATTGTTATGCACATTAACGTCTCCTCCGACGTTGTCCCACCCCCTTTCATTACTCCAGGTTGTAGACTCCACTAAGCTCCTCGGCGTCACTATAGATAAACTAAATTGGAAAACACACGTCAGTACAGTTGTCAAATCCTCCAGTTTTCGTCTCCACCTCCTCTGCCGACTCAAGTCCCTCAGAGTTCCTGCGCTCCAGCTCCCCAGTGTTTACTCAACATTCATACATCCCAAGCTCACCTATGCCTTTCCTGCTTGGTCTTCCTGCCTTAATGCCACACAACGGAAACACCTAGAAAAAGTGCAGAGAGGGCATGCAAGATTATTCTCTCCCCCTCCTATTCCACATATCAAGAAGCACTCAACACATTGACCCTCTCTGATCATCACCACGACCCCATCTGCAATTTGGCGAGATGCTTCTGCACCATCCTCGACACCGGCTCCTACTTCCGCCCGAGATCCCTCGTCCGCGAATTGCACTATGTTGAAATGCCCTGTAGTATTACCTTCTCCCCACCTAGTTATTATATATTATATTTTTATCACTTATGTTACTTGTATATTATTTGCCAATCAAGTGGCCCATTCCCCAATTATATAACTATATTTTCAGCCTTCCGGCTGCCATGCTTTCAATGAGCCGTTAATTATTACACACACACACACATCCTTGACCACCGAAGGGTCAAGACGTACTTGGCGCTGCTCTGGCAGCAGCCAGGTCAACTGTTATGTTGGCCCATAACAACTCCCTCCTCTGAACCCTCCACCCAACCGAAATATCAACAAGTTCTCGCATAAGTTACAAATTCATTTGGAAAGATTTTTAACGGATGTTAAACAGTGATGAATAGTATTTAAGACAGTGAAAACAACGCAACAGTAACAGTAGTTGTACGGACAATGACCTACTTGAAAAAAAAAACTGATCACACAAAAAATAAAATTGCTAAATTGAAAATGTTAAAATTCAAAGACTTTAACACCTACTGGTGTAACCTCTTTGTTTACAAATCTATCAATCACTTGCTTGACAATAATTACTTCCAGTTCCGGAATAATCAGAGATACAATTTAAGGCACCCAGAACTACTAAGACCACCCCGCAGACATGCTTTGCAGAATATCTTGTTCACTCAAAAGATAAGACACTAAAAGCCTTCATAGACCTTAAATCAGCCTTTGATGTAGCTAATAGACACATTATACTTGAGCAACTAGTTAATTTTGGCATCCAAGGTAACCTCCTGACATGGATAAAGGGTTATCTGTCCAACAGGTATGCCAGTGTTCTGTTTAGGGGAGTCAAAAGTGTCAGAATGAGAGCATTTGAGCTTGGCACGCCTCAGGGAGGAATGTTAAGTCCTATGCTCTTTAATATACTGATGCACAAGCTTATTGCTGACATTCCAGTTCAGCCAAACAAGGCTGTAATATGCTATGCTGATGATATCTGCATTATGACAAACCAAACTCAGGCTCCAAGCCTTGCTGGATGTATTTGCTCGGAGGACTGTGGAATGTGGTCTCATAATATCTGTTGACGAGGGTCCTCAATCCTCGTTCTGCTCACCCTCTGACTCTTGACTTTAACATTAATAGCATGTCCTTGGAACTATGTAGCTCTTATAAATATCTTGGAATTTGTGTGAATGAGGCAAACTTTGTCAGCAACCTTCGTGCCAAACTAATGCAGTGCATTAAAGCTCTCAGAACCCTTATTGGCAAGGGCTATGGAATTAACATCACCTATGCTCGTACTTTCTATCTTCACTTCATTCGTTCTGTAGTTGACTATCATGCTCTCCATCTTGTGACTATTCCGCCTAAACAACTCAACAGCCTTGAGGTAGTGCAAAATGAAGCCATGCACATCATTCTCGGATGCCAAAAATCAACCAGAATTGTAAACATGAGGAAAGAGCTCGGACTGCCCTCCCTATCTGAGAGGATAGCTCTACTCAATACCATGTTTTGTGTCAAAGTTTTGAAGAACAATGGTCCCCAAACTACAGCTCAAACTGAGTTGATGTTCTATCTAAGTAATCCCGACTATCTCGCTAACCTTCCACAAAAGACTCTGTTTGGGGCGTGGCTTCATAAAAGTGCTGCAGATCTCTTGAAACTGAATGTCCCAATCACCCCAGACGAACCCATTAATGTCATTCCTCCTTGGCTGGATATATCAGTTCCTATTAATTACACTCCTATTGGTAGTACGCAAATGTTAAACACCGATGTGATGAGATGTGTCACACTAGAAACTATTAACAGACACATAGAGAGTATTAAATCAAGTGAATGTTATGCTTTTACTGATGGTTCTGTACAGACAAACACAGGTAGAACAGGCTGTGCAATTGTAATATATAAAGAAAAAGAGATGGTGGTGTTAAACAAGCAAAGGCTGAACAACTGGGCCAGCACAACACAAACTGAACTAACTGGAATCTACTTAGCCACAGACTACCTCAAAGAAAATGGAGGTGGGGTGATATTCTGATACTCTCAAAGTGTTTTGAAATCAATGAACAGCCCGTCAGGTTCTAT